AGCCGAATGAGGGGGGCGCGATAGCAACTGTCCGGTCCTACAACTCCTGCCCTTATGCTCAGCGATCCTGGAATAAAGATTGCGTGAAGTCATACCGACGTACGCGGATGCACATTGTGCACAACGAAATTTCGTTGTGCACGTTTTCGTACGTTTTTCTCTCCTGAACTACCGGGGATCGGGCCACTGGCTTTCTTGATCTTCAGTTGCACACCCTGAAAAAGTATACGGTACTATTAGTTTTTCATGTCAGATATTGGTATGCATCGCCGCTATCAACTGCTGGCCTAGCTGTAGCTGAGCTCGGATAAAATGCGCTGCATCTGTACTCTTTCGGTACCACAGCATCGATGAAGCCTCTACACTCGATATCAGCCGAGTTACATGCTCCACTCGGTGAAGAAACTTGGCAAATCACACACAAAAGTTTCTCACTGACACTTGGCAAATCACACACAAAACCAATTACCAACAAGCAACGCGAATATCTTGCGAATTATCATTCGCAGATCAACTTACATATTTCATGGACAGAAACGCACTCTGATATTATCTCTGAAATGTAATTCGTGCTGAATTGGATACTTTGCGATCGCATTACCACTCATAATTTTCGAATATATTTCAAAATGTACTGATTTTGTCGCAACAGCGGTCCCTGAGACCAAGCCTAAATAAATCGTGACTGGTGAACGAATTTGTTTATTGCTGTTTTAGTGGAAGTTTTACAGCTATGACTATGAATAGTTTCTCACATCAAACTGTTTGAGAGCGTCGTGCAAGGTCGCGAAGGAAAGATTGTGCACAACAAGGAAAGTACTCAGAGTAGGTTTGAACACAAGGCAGCTGTCGTCCGGTGCCAGGCCGAACCAAGTAGTTAGTAAATTTTGCCCCCACGTATCACAGAGGGAACTCACANATGTGCCTTGAACAGTGAATGAGATGTGTATAAGAGACAGGGTCACTACCGGCTAACACTTCGGTCTCAAACACCACCATACTCTTGCACATGCGCAGCTCCATTTCTCGTATGAACTGCGAGCGATCTCTTGAGCTTCAACTTCTGCTGATCAGTTTTTGGATAGTCGTCTTTCCACTCATATTGCACAAATCACCCATTAAAAAAAACTGAATCTTGTAGCGAGCTTTTCAAAAAGTCGATTATTTTATAAATTAAATGTAAAATCAACAACCACAATGTAGCACCAATAATAACTCGAGTTTTGCCCACGCTCCACGTGTGTTTGAGAGGAGCAACTTGTGCACGAGACCTCGACTTGTCGAAGAATGAAGCGGTCGGTCTAGTTGGGCCTAACAAACGTTCCACAACTGCTGGCCTACCATAAAAACATTATAGAGCATTTAGCATTCCAAGTTTTGGATCATCTTTTATTTCTGAAGTTTATATCAAGATGTTCGAAAAATGAAATGACGCCTTATTCCTAATTATCTCTCAACTTATCTAAGCCGTGAAATTGAAATAATTTAAATTAGGCCTAGCTTCCTAAATGTCCTCAAAGCTGATTTAATCGCTATATTGGCATTTTATAATTATACAAATATACGCTTATAATATCAACTTTCTAAAATGATATCTAATTGTTTCAAAATATTTCTGAAAAAAGAATGGAGTTATAAATGACTGAGTTACAGATTTAATAATTTGGGCAATAGCACAAAAAAACTAATATTTTCTGTAATTTTCGTATTTTTTTTTCTTTTTGTGGAGGTGAACCAGCAAGCAAACAGGTACCGAAACTTGTAAGTAGCGACGAAGACTGATTGACAAACAGTATTCTCGCCCCATGCATGAAAAAACTCAAATCAAGCGACATCGTGACTAAGATCACATAACATAACATTATGATGTCGGCGCTGAAATGTAGGCCTGATGTGGCCTGTCGCCGATTCTTTTCCTTTTCGTGCCTTAATCATAGATCTAAACTCGTGTCATTTGACCGGATCTTTTCATGACTGGCGATAGTTTGAAGTAGCTACTAGACTTCCACCGGGTTCGATAAGGAGCTAGGCATTTCAAATCTGAACATATATTTTTCCATAGCTTTATCTAGTCTGTTCTTGAACGCGTTCATACTTGGAGCTCCAACGATGTCATCGGGGAGGCTGTTCCACATGTCGGTGATTCGAAGCGAGAAAAAAATTTGTCGCGTGGAGGGAGAAGTTGCAGCGCAATTTTTTTAGCTTATAGCTGTGGCCCCTGGTGTTGGTTCTTGTTTCAAATTCTAGTAACCCAGTCAGATTCGATCCGCGGGCAGGTGGTGCACGGCAGATTCTATGCCAGGCTGGAGGTGGACAAAGCCGAGAGGTTCACGGCTGATTGGTGGATGTCCGGAGAGATCCAAGGCGTTCGATTCAGGGCTTATTGGTGCACAAAATTGGTGGTGCACGGCTGCGCTCCCACTCACTGCAGTGTTTCCATATGGGCCTTTTTCAGGCCAAATTTTGCAAATGTGGCCTTTTTTTTAAATGCATTGGCCCGGCAAAAAATTCGTTTGGCCTTTTTGTCCGTTTGTGGCCTTTTTTATGAAAAATGTAATTCTCGGCTTTTTTGGTGATAATTTTGTCCTTAAATGTTATCCAAAACGAGTACACCAAAATTAAATTTTGCCCAAGTCGAGTACACTCAAATTTTGACACGTAACTGTGTCAACCATTCGGTTTACGGGTTTAGGTGGCAACACTGGCGAGTGCCGCCTAATCCTGGCAACAATTTGGTTGAACCACAAGACTAAATCCAGTTGCCGACTCGTATTAATAACCATGGATGGTAGAGCTGAGAGCGCAGATAATCGAGTATAGTTTTCACTCCTAGGAGTAGTAAATTCAACATTAATTTTTGAGGTTACAGCGCTGTTTCTCTATACATTCAGGCTTCTGGTGTGAGTCACTACCAAATTTCACTTTGAATAAATATAATGACTCTTCTCCGAATTATGATAGGCAATATTTTTTCTACGCATTCACAAGTTGTGATAAATTTATAGGATTGACTACTAATATATACCTTAGTCTTGCAAGGACCACATCATCTTTATACCGCAGAAATGAGTTTACATTTATTTTTATTTCCGCGTGTAAATATTCTACCATCAATACCGAAAAACTTCGCCACATCACTCATGTCGCCGGCCACTTCACTATGTGTTTGTTAGCAAACTGAGCCAAAACTCTCTAACGCGATCGAAAAGCTTTATAGATGTAAGGTGGCAATCGAATCCTAAATATCATAGTTCTGGACCTGTTTTATATGGTTTTATTTACAATCGGCGAGTAACGTGCAATTCGCTGCAGGCTGGAACCTGGCGGCTTATGTAGCATTGACGGAAATTAAGCTCGTACACTTGATGAAATTGGTGTATTTTTTGCTGTCTGAAAGCCTTGAGAGTAAATGCATGCACTGCAAATGATTGCACTGTTCCAAACTCTATCGTCCGCCGGCCGCCGGCGAGTGACTTCCGCAGCTTCGCTAAATTTACGTAACTTTTAGCTCACAGCATCTGGAGTTAGGTTCCAGATAGCATAGTTCTGTTCAAAAATTTATCGTCGTCCGACACGTGGCCGTTCGACCGTGGGCTGATTCGATACACGGGACAAATGAAATACGGACGGCTCCGGCGCGCTCCGTCCGGGTGGTGTAAAAAATTTTCACGTGTTGGCTGACGACGCTGGGGCCTGGGCTATACGACGCCAGCCTGCCAGTGCCAGGCTTATTTTTCTGTGGGCTGATTGATCTAATTCAATGGATGTTATCTGTCTGGTGACGTGCGGCTGATAATGTTACAGTCAAGATGTGTTGTAGGCTATGTTCTTCAGGGAAGGGATCATGATAGTCCATTCGAAGCACGGCAGAGGTGGTATCCGACAGGCGTCCCGGGCTGTGCTGCCCACTGGCCAGGCTAGAGTGAGTCTAGACCAACCAGTCCACAATCTCATAATGAGGCACAGTGCAGGGCATGTAAATAATTACTAACCTCTGTAACCTGTGATGAAATATTCATGTATTCTTCAAACAAATGTCTTGCAAAGTTGCATTAGGTATGTCTCATTGTTTCATTTGTTTGTACCATATATTATTATTAGCAGCTCTGGTAACATGCCTCCTCTTTATGTAGGGTATCATCTCTGGTTTTTGCAGTTTTCACAAACCCTGATTAGCGATAGGCTGATCATCACCATCCTGTCACCTGTGGACTGTGGAGCCTGGAGGTGCTACCTTAAAGTTTTGAATGAGTCTCCAGAGTCCAGAGTTCCTTTCACTTCAAGTTCAAATAAACAAAGAAAGCACAAAAAGCATCCTCTGTGAATGTGGACAAAACAAATCAGAGACATTTAGAATGTCAAATAATGTAAGTAGAAGTCAATTGTGACTTAAAGTTTGAGTTTTTTTAAGTGTGTGCAGCAAGTGTGCTCATTACCTATTGCAGTCGCAGTGAAGTGTTCATGAGTAATCATGACCAAGTCCAAGACTCAAAGGTAGCAAAATTGATGGAATCTACTTGTGTCCAGAAACAGGATAAAATCTCTAGTTTCTCACCTTGACTAAGGCCTTGGAAAGTTAGAATAGTACCCACCCATGTGACCAATTTTTACCTGATTTTGTAGTTCTGCTAGTTCATAAGTTCACAACCTGCTGGTGTGGAATTTGTGCTGCATTACCTCTTCTGCTGCAAATAATTTTTTTCAATATCTTGAGTCTTGACAATTTTTGAGTGTCATTTTTTGGCACTTGAAAGGCACTGCCCCCTTCTCAAGTTCTCAGGATTAATTCAGGTGCTTTTAATTTGTGTCTGGCACTGGCAACCTACATTACTAATACTTAATAGCATATCATGCAGATGGAATTATTTTGGAGATGTCATATGATACCTAGCCCTCACATTAGTCACATAGACCTTTAAATTTTAAAATGAGCTCAAATTTGTTTATGAAATGTTTCATGGTAAGAAGTTATTAACAGAAAACACTCAAAACTGTCCCTATTACCCCATTTGATTGTATGCAACTATTTGTGTAAAAAAATTTTATAAACTCTCTGAGGATAACCTGGATCTGGTGAGCAAAGATGTTTTGACTTTTGTTCATATGATTAAATGTTACCAGTCTACCAGTACCAGACATTACCTGTATTTGTATTTCACAGCCACCGCTGTTGAATATATGCTGCATTACCTCTGCAGTCTGCAGCAAAGAATTCTGTGGATATCTTGGCCACATTTAAGTGCCATTTCATTTTTTATGATGTATTACTGAAAAATAATCACTACACTATTTGCAATGATTTTTCCAAGTTAATATAACCATTCCTAGCCCTGTTGCTGTTTTTGGATATTTATTTTTCAGCCTTTTGTTTGTTTGAAAAATTAGTTTGTTACAATTTTCCATGGATCATTTGCCATTGTCATTCCAATGCTTGCTACTTCTTAACCAGACAGTTTGCACTGTATTCCCTCAAACACTATATTTATCTGAAGTGGCATGTTTAATTTGCTGTGCTTACTGAGTTAACTTATTTTTTCAACAAATGCTAATACATTTAGCCAAATCAGAAGCTGAAAGAGTTCTTCTCATTGAGTTCCCTACTTGATCGGTCATGACCGACCAACCTGTGGCTGTAGGTTTAATTATTTTAAATGATGTGTTTTCTACCATCTGATGCACTTCTGTGTGTGCAGAGAACTGTCATGAAGGTGAAAGAATGATAGAAGAATTACACTATCGTTTTATTCCATTCCTGTGTGCCTGAGACAGGCTCCTGGCCTCCCGCGGAACATGATAAGCCTCGTATGGATGATGTAAAGGACTTTTCTTAACACATTATGGAAGCTCAATTAAATTGAAATTATGTTGAGTGCACGGCGTGAATAAGTTGAAAGATGACTATGATCAAAATTTGATTAACTTTTCCATACAATACGACATTAAACTAAGAACTAGAAGGCAATCCATAACAGGAAATGCTAAATGCTCTCGCTTTTTTTTGGAGCCAAACGTGGCGGAACGTTTGCTTAGGCCTAACTAGACCGACCGTTTCATTCTACGAGCAAGCGAGGTCTCTTGCAAACATGAGTCGCTCTTCTCAAACACACGTGGAACGTTTGCGAAGCTCCAGTTATTATTGTTGGTGCATTGTTGTTGTGGACTATACGCTCAATTTTTAAAAGTATCCACAATTTGAGAAGAACCTTGAAAAAGATAAGTTTGTTTTTAAAAATGCTTGATTCGCGTAATATGAGTGGAAGGACGGCGGTCCAACAACTGATGAGCAGAAGTTTAATTTCAAGAAATCGCTCGCAATTTGTGCGAGAAATGGAGCTGCGCATGTGCAAGAGTCTGGTGGAGTTTGAGACCGAAATGTCAGCCCGTAATCGGATAATTAAAATGGAATTCAATCACAACGGGTAAGCCTTTTTGTAAGATTGACTTTAAAATGTAATTCAGCTTAATACTATGACCTTTCAGTCTAACTGTGACGAATTGCCTAAGAATTCCTGTGACTTTTTTTTCTTAACAGAACTCAGATTGCTTCATCTTGTACTATTATTTCATTTTTAGTGCTATTATGAAACAGGGTTGCCAGACGGTCTTTTTTCCGGGCAAATTACGAGATTTAGTTTTTTCAATTGCATTGGCCGGCTAACATTTATGATAAGGTTACTTCCTAATTAAATCGAAAAAAATTGAATTTTTACAGCGGAACCTCCGAATATACTAGTATATATTGAGTTATAGGCTTTTTTGGCCTTTTTTATTCGAGGACTTGGCCGTTTCTAGGCCATCTGGCAACACTCAATCGACAATTCTACGGACCCGCCTGCGAACTCGCCTGCGGACTCGCGCAACTGAGACACTCATAATTCCTTCAATACTTAACGGATCTGTATGAATTTTGGAATGTGAGTATTAATTATTGATACGCTGCCGCAGGAATTATTACAGATTTTTACGTGGCTTATTTTTTAATTAAAACCAATAAACATATTTTTTAAGCAACTGGGAAACTCATAATTCCTTCAATACTTAACGTACCTGCTCAAATTTTGGAATGTGAGTATTAATTATCGATACGCTGCCGCAGGAATTATTACAGATTTTTACATGACTTATTATTAGGTTGGGTTAGGCTAGGTTAGGAAATAATTCATGTAAAAATTTGTAATAATTCCTGCGGCCGCGTATCGATAATTAATACCTACTCACATTCCAAAATTCATACAGATCCGTTAAGTATTTAAGGAATTATGAGTGTCCCAGTTGCGCGAGTTCGCAGGCGGGTCCGTAGAATTGTCGATTGAGTTCTGGCAACCCTGAATTATGTATGCACCACGATGTACTGGAGAAATACATTTCGTAGTATGCGTATGTACCACTTCGGAGTCAACGTGTTGAAGATACTTTAAATGTTAATTATTTTACTGTAATTCAGATTCACAATAGAATGTTGAAAATCTATGTGTGATAATTTTTTGTAGGTATTAAAAATATTTTGAACATTGATATTTTCAGATTCACACTGGGATGTTGGAGAAAGTCCATTTGTGATAAATTGTATATTTTTGATCAAGGATAACATAATTGTATGTCATTTTTCTGTTGCTTTCAGCAGTTAAAAATTATTTTAAAATAATATCATTGCTTCTGTTCCTTTCAATTCCTTGCATCTAACGAAGAAATGGGAGTTCAGATTTTGCCGTGAATATGATTTTAAATGCCAACGCTGACTATCAACTAGCATCCGCCATATTATCACATCAAATCTTTTTCCAGCTCGCGGTTGGTGCGGGTCCACAACGGTTTGGTTGAGGTTTATGACCCGCGTACACGCCGTGTCGTTCACACCCTGCCACGGAACTTCTTTTTAAGCTTAAAAAGTAAAGTTTTCGAGTGAGTACTGTTATCATTTAACGACACCTAATTTATGTTTTTTAAGAATTTAAGGCCTTAAAAGTGTTTGCAAGGGTCAACGGCTTCATTCTATACGACTTATTATTTTTTTTAACGGGCAGTATAAAAATATTACAAATTATATAGTGGTGTGAGCTTTGATTGGGCCATGTTGAACTGTGGCTGGTTCTTAACAACCCGTTCACTTTGCCGATTTTACAACTAATTGCAAGTTTCAAAGCCCAAACTCGCTGCTCTCATCCTTATGATCTCAACCACTTCCTCCCCAAGTAGCCCCTAAGTAATTCACGAGCTGCAGAAATGATTAATTGCATTAATTTTTCATAGACTATTATTTTTGCAATAAGTGTAGTATTAATTTCAATCATTGATGCGCATAATCATCAAAAAAATAACTTAAAAATGGTATGTATTGCAAAAATCACGGCTGCATTACAATGACGAGGCGAACGTTGCTCAAATTGCTTTGTAAGTTTGTTTATAGCTCTGCTCCAACTTCATTGAAGGATGATTAAATATTTCTACTAAACCGGCAGATTTACGGATGTCGATCACGAACTTCTACTCGAGTGCTGGAGTGTGGATGGAGGCCGACCAGAGTTACAGCTCTGGGATGTGCGGTTTTCGTCCTCGCATGCCGGTAGGATCCATTTCCGTGATGAGATAATGGCACAATATGCATATTCCAAGAAGGAGAGGTCACTCCTGACCAAAACGTATAATTTTATTTCCGGGGAGACATGGAAACTAGCGTTTTACAACAAATCAAGGTTAGTAATTCACCTGGACTGAACGGTAAAGAGACTATTACAAATGTTTTAGGTTTTATTCTTTTTGTGTTAGGTATATAGAAGCTGCTCTTAGATAGCTGAATATATCGGCAGCTTAATGTGGCTTATGAGGATAAATAGGCAAATTTATGCTCAGAAAAACTTTTGCATGCTTTAAAAAAAGTATTTATTTTTCAATCACACATATGGAACTTAGCAGTATGCTAATGTGAATAAAAATTGATTAGGAGCAAGCCTTTATTGTTTGATTCATTTAGTTATTAATCTTAATGCCAAATTGTTTATTTTAATCATGCTACAAAGTGTGTTAGAGCAAGTAAGTACTATCTGTATCTTTCAATGACCCTATTTTTCCCATGTATGAATACATCAAGGCGGCGGAATGCGTGAGTAAACTAATGCTTGATTTAACCCTCTACAGCCTAACATGAGTAACCGGTGCAATGTTGTCGCAAGCCTACTTCCCAAAAGGATACCTTCTAGTGAGCGCAAAATGACTTGCACTGATGGTTGCCGCCACGTACAACTTTGAAATGTTCTCTGTTGCGTACAAACGTCCTAAGGCTGCTACACTCAATATTTTACGTATAATTTAAGTTGAAAGTTGTATTCCCGGAGAGCTACATACGGCGGTAGAAAGTTAATTATTAGCGGTCACAATTTCATGCTCTGGAATATAAATCCTTCAAAAGTGGTAGAGTCAACTATTACTTTGGCGAATTTACATTGGAAAATAAGCCTCAAAACTTCTTAGCTTTTCCATATCGGGAGATGCGACGCCTGTGAGGTCTTTCAGTGATACGTGGACACCAACGTTACAAGTTACGTGGTTCGGCTTGGCACCGGACGACAGCTGCCTTGTGTTCCAACCCACTCCTGAGAGCTTCCTTGCTGTACACAATCCTTCTTTCGCAACCTTGGAAGAAGCTCTCAAACAGTTTGAGGTAAGAAGCGATTCATATTTGTTGCCAGTCACGATTTGCATAGACTTGATCCTAAGTAAGTCTCGTGAACCGCTGTTGCTACAAACCAATACCGTGAAAATAATTCACTGCATAACTAATTTCATTGCATAATTATGACTGGTAATGCTATAGAAATGTATCAAATTTCAGCGTGATGGTTTAGATGTCTGTTTTGGCCCAACAGAGTATATTTGTGCTCATCCAAAATGTGCCTTGAACAGTGAATGACACTCCGTTTGATACTTAACACTGTTTGTTGGTAATTGGGTTTGTGTGTGCTTTACAAAACGTCTATCTTCACGGAGTCAAGTGTGTAACTCAACTGGAACCGTGTGTAGAGGCGAACTCTATGCCGAGGTACTGATGGAGTATAAATGCACCGTATTTTATCCGAAACTAAGCTGCTGCTAGCCACACCGCAGACAGGAGCGGTGTCTTATTATGTCTGACTTCGCCCGTTTTCCCATATCTGACATGCAAGTAAATCTTATACTTTTTCAGGATGGGCGACTGAAGATCTTTAGAGCCAGTGGTCCGAACCCAAGTGGTTTAGGAGTTATGAACAAACTCACCCACATGGTTCACGATTCTAGGCTTACTGAACATTTCAAAATCTGTCCAAGAGGAAACTTCATTATCGGTGATCCATGCGAACCATATGAGGTGAGAAATTGACATGTTTTATTTTACACGAGTTTATTTTGACATCATTAGCTAAGTATATAACGTATTCATTAATATTTCGAGTATTGAAAACGAGATTGCCTCACCCATTAACAAACACCGTCGACTCATCACTGATGATGTTCGATGGAACGTTCGTACATACGATTTAAATCTATATTCACATCAGCTGCCCGTAACCTTCCGCTGCAAACGTCTAAGGGGCTTGCTGCATTCTATCAATAAAATAGCTACAAAAATATTCTTGCACGACATTATTAATTCCAATATTTAAATCATACCCTGCTCCGCGTGTCAGCGTATGTAAATATTTTTTTATGTAAATCATTACTTTGATCAATCACTGTGGGTTTACCTGACTTGGACACTTTCCTTGCAGAAGTTCAGGGTCTACAGCTTCGATCACGATGTCCCGACGTCCAAGTTTCAACAAAACCCACCGACTCTGATCAGCACGGCGCAATTTACTGCCTCCGGAGACCAAAAATTTTGCAAAGCTCCATTTATTCTCAGTGAAACAGGCGAAATCGTTGTCACGTACGATATCTCTGGAACCATCGGCTTTTACCACTTGAGAGCGCCGGTATTAACCGAACGTCCAATAGATTTGCATCCCTTTAATAGTTTCACGATCGAGAAGCCGTCTGTAATGGCATTGAGTCCAAACTTAGACATCTTCGTTACTGGTCATGCCTCTGGCATAGTGGTATGGTATTATCCTAGACTTTAAACTATACGTTCCACAGATTTTGAGAAGGCGCACCATAACATTTCCGTGTATTTCCACTCAACTGGCTGAGTACTTGGCAAAAATTGATCGGCTAACTGTTGGCATTGATTAGTTATGCGTCTACTATTTGATTAAAAACAGTGAAGACAACCGAGGAAAAGGTATTAAATGCGGAGAAAAGTTGAGACTTTTTTTGTCGTATTAAATGTGGAGTTTCATAGACTCAGAATTCCCATTTTTTATCTCCTGTCTCTCTCTTGCGTACACGTCACGTGTAAGTCATCGCTCCTTGACGTTTCTTTCCGCCTCTTGTGGATAATGAACTATTTTTGCTTGTATGAGAAAGTTTACCAGCTGATGCCCTAGGAAAAAATTAGGCCATTAAACTAAACCAACAAATTTAAAAATTTGGATCGTGTTCATAAGCTTGTCATGCCGTTCTAGATGTGTATCAGGAACTAGAAATACAGCTTCGATAATAAGGTAATAATTGTTGGGCACGTGTCAAAACGGAGGCGAGTCGCTCTTTGCTTTGCTCTCCATATCCTCAGCAGCGGCCCAAACTGGCGGCCTCCAGCAGCCTGTACAAGCGAGGCTATGGAAACAATAATTAAACTGTTTTTTTTATCCGCCTAATGTTATGAAAAAAAAACTGATAAGTTCACGGAAGTTATTATTTAACCGATTTAAAGAAATTGATAATTTATCCAAACATGGTATTATAAATCATGTGAAGATAAATACAAATGATTTTGCATTATTGCCAAGCTCAGGCTATTTAATTGAAATTGAAAATTACAAACAATAACGTTGGACGTGTCAAGTCGATTCAAAATCCTCCGATTTGAGATACACGACCTTTATTAACGAACCAGGAGAAAATTAGCTTAAGCTAGCATGAGTAACTATAAATCTATGCTTCGTCCAAGATTAATGCCATTGAATCCTTACTTGCTATCAAGTTTTCGGCTGCATTAGAAAATTTAATTTATTACTGAAAATAAGTTTCGATGTATCGTCCCCGGTAGCTCCATCACTTTCCAAATAATGTTAGTTTGTCACATCCTTCAATTACGTCAAGAGATCTCCAATTCAAAACTATATATGAAGTACTGTTGTGTAGAGACCTGATATTTTCTGTCAGCAAAAACAAAAAACGCTCAAGTTTGACATGGATCATTGTTCTGAGGCTGTATTGTGTACTCACCACACAAGTATGTTTCAATCAGTTATTTAGAATACGCTCGCATATTGGTCATGTCAAGTACCGATTAGAAAATTTTCGCTAGAGGCCAAATTATGTTGATTCAAACCATTTTCCAGTATGGAGCACGAGCTTAGCAGGCACATTAGACTAAACATAACGGGACTCGGAATAAATTTTCAATTGATTATGCACAAGTCACACACTCCAGATTACTATGAATTTATTACAATTTCGATGAGGCGTAAGATTCCTAAAACTTTTCTTTGTAAAACCACTATTTCGAAGAAGTATCCATAATTTTATGGTTTTAGCCAGTGAGTGTTTATAGTGGCAAAAATTCTTCCTTCAAATTTGGCAAAAGGAGGAAAAAGAAAATTTGGTAAAATTTCTTCCTTAATCTTGAATCTATTACGGGTATGAATTAAATAAATACGAATGACGAGATATGCAGCAAAAACTTGCTATAACTGAAAAAAAACTAAGTAATCATTTGAAGCTTGCAGTGAGTTTTTTCTACGCAAAAAAAACATCCTTTAACAATTAACCACAAATTAATGCAGAAGATGGAAAAGTAAATGATCGAGGTCAGAGTTTTTCAATCTCATTTTTATAAAAGATTTTATTTTTAAAACGCAAACATAGTAATTTGCAATATGATTAAAAATTTTGTTTCGTAAACTAACAGAAAAATAACTGGCTTATTGTCATAAAATCTGATGGGACTACTAAGCTCGTGATCCATACTGGAATATGGTTTGAATCAACATAATTTGGCCTCTGGCAGAAATTTACTAATCGGGTCTTCTACATAGCCAGTATAAACGCGTTTTGTGATTGAAACATATACTTGAGAGGCGAGGACTTGTCTACCAAGGACTCTGGTCTTGCATCCCATTCAAACTTCATATTTATAACTTTTAAACGTAAAATCCACAAGGTCCCGTGAATTTGAAGCAAAGTAAGGACGTGACTAAATAACATTACTTAACATAGTGATGACATAGGGATAGACATAGTGATGTCAGCGCTGACGTGTAGGCCTGATGTGGCTTGTCGCCGATTCTTTTCCTTTTCGTGCCTTGTTCACAGAAGATCTAAAAACGTGACATTTGACCGGATCTTTCCATGACTGACGATAGTTTGAAGTTGCTACTAGACTTCCACCGGGTTCGATATGGTGCTAGGCATTTCAAATCTGAACATATATTTTTCCATAGCTTTATCTAGTCTGTTCTTGAACGCGTTCACACGTCTCAGCGCCAACGATGTCATCGGGGAGGCTGTTCCACATATGTCGGTGATTCGAAGCGAGAAGAAATTTTGTCGCGTGGATAAGTTGCAGCGCAGTTTTTTTAGTTTATAGCCGTGGCCCCTGGTGTTGGTTCTTGTTTAAAATTCTGGTAATCCTTCGGGGACCTTGTATAAACCATGAGTATACTTATATACTTCAACGAGGTCCCCACGCAGACGTCGATATTTGAGGCTTAGAAGCTTCATTATGTTTAATCTTTCTTCATAGGACTTGCCCTTCAAGCCTGAAATTATCCTTGTTGCACGTCTTTTCTACACTAGACTTTTCAATCATTACTCCCTCGTTGCAACCATGTCTTCTCATACTGTAATCTTGCTGTTCATTGTTCTTCCCGAGGTGAAGTACTTTACACTTGTCAGCATTAAACCGCAGCTGCCACGTATCAGCCCAGTTAACTAAACTGTCAAGATCATCTGGTAATTGCGCTTTATTTGACGCATCCTTCACTGAATTATAAGCTTTTGTGTCGTCGGCATACATGGAGTACACGCTGGACACTACTTCTGGCAGATCGTTTATAAAAGCAACGAACAAAATAGGTCCAATAACGCTTCCTTGTGGCACGCAATTGCGCACAGATGGTCTGATGCCCAGTCTGACACGGTTCCGTTAATACTAACACGTTGTCGTCTACCAACTAGAAAATCTCTGATCCGTTGGAGTACGTTTCCCTCAATTTCCAAAGACTTCACTTTACGCAACAGCCGCTCATGCGGAACACTGTCAAATGCTTTGGCAAAATCGAGGTACAATGCATCCACTGGCACCCTTTCGTCCTGCAGGCGAGTCAAATCGTTCAACGTAGATAATAAGTTAGTGGTGCAGGATCTACCGGCAATAAAACAAACAAAACAAACGACAATCTGATAGGAGATGGTGAGCACAATGGGCAGGCCAGAACGGTTGCTAATTCTTTGAGCAATCTGGGATGGAAGCCGTCTGGTTCACATAACTTGTTGGGATCTTAAGCTACCAGGCGCTTGAGAAACTTTTCTTCGTGTATTTCAAAACCTGTTAACTTCGAGTCGACTGGGATGATGCCGGGATGACTGGGAGCCGGAATGATCGACTGGATCGTACCGACGACCAATGGGCGCGCCAGCTGAACGATCTGCTGTCTGCCTTCGGCATGGTCTGTCACGTTACCTTACCAACCCATCACCTTAGCGTGCTGCTGGATGTTGTCATCGCGCGTACCAACATTCAGTTTCTGTCCGTTGACATCTCATCGAAATCGCAATATCTGACCACCGACTACTCCAGTGGATGGTGCCATGTGTTCACCCGGCGTTGACGTACAGAGCCGTCACCTGTCGCCCGTGGCGCGATCTCGACGGCGATGTTTTGAGCAGGAGACTTCAGTCGTCCCGACTTGGTCGGCCGGACTCATGGTCGGAGCTGTCGGGGGATGATCTTGCAAAACTCTACGACATCGAATTGACATCGTTGCTCGACGACCTCATTCCTGCACGAACTGTTCGTGTCCCCCGGCGAGCCTCCGACCCGTGGTTTGACGATGAATGTCGCGCCTCGAAGCGTGGTGTTCGGCTGCTTCAGCGGGCTGTCCATCGCGCGAGCAGGCGTAACGATCCTGCTGCTGGGGCTGAAGCGACGTCCAACTGGCGGGATGCGCGGCGCGCCCATGTCAACCTTCTTGGATCCAAAGATCCAAGAGAAAGTCATTCTGGCGTCTAAGAGTTGACACACAGCGCGGCGACCCTCGGGCGCTGTGGCGTTCGCTGGATAGGCTCATGGGGAGGGGTCGTGCGGATGCCTCGGGCGACGTGAGCGTGGAAGGATTCCATGCGTTCTTTGAAAACAAAACTTCAGCTGTGCGCACGTCGTCGGCCGATGCTCCCGCGGCAACCATTACGCCGTGCCCCTACAACTGTGTGCTACGCGAGTTCACCTGCGTCACAGTGGTTTAGGTCACCACTGCGGTGCGCGCGCTGCCTAACAAGCAGTGCGCCAGCGACCTGTTGCCGTCGCATCTACTTGGATAGAATGTTGCCAGCCTAGCACCTTTTATGGTTGAACTGTTTAACCGCTCCCTCGCTGACGGCGTTGTCCTGAGAACTTCAAATCCGCTTACATCACGCCGCTTCTCAAAAAGCCGGACCTCGACTCCTCAGACCCAAATTCGTATCGACCCATCTCCAACCTATCGATTTTATCGAAACTTCTCAAGCGCGTTGTGGCCCGGCAGCTAAATAACTACCTTCATAAGTCAGGTCTCATGCCTCACCTTCAGTCTGCATACCGTCGTCACCACTCGACCGAGACCGCCATGCTGAAGGTTCTTTCGAATATTCTGCAGGCGGTTGACCGCGGCAACATTGAGGCACTGGCTTTCCTCGATCTTTCCGCTGCATTTGACACGGTCGACCACGCCACCTTGTTGCGTCCGCTAGACGTATCGTATGGCCTGCGCGGTACGGTGCTGCGGTGGTTCAAGTCTTACCTCAACAAGAGACTCCAATGTGTTCGTCTCGGGCTCTCCTCTTCTACACCATC